GCTGTCGGTGCTACTCACCTTCCAGGATGGGGACCGCGTGATCCTCACTGTGCCTGGTTGGAGACACTACAAGATATGGCTGCCAACCGATGTCAGTGGCGCTTTTGTTGTCAGTTTCTACCCAGATTGCCTGAGTGAATGTCTGGAGGTGCAGGTACTTCGGAGTGATTGTGTTAAGCTAGCACTAAGCCCCTTCCGCGTTCACCTTTACTTTTCTTTACAATAAGGCTTTCAAATAAGTCATGATTGTGCGGCAGTGAAGCATCGGTGTTGGACAGTGATATCATGCTGTCGATGATGACGATGAACACATGAAGACAACTCAGTTACTCTACTCGAACAGGCCAAATCTCATATCTATACAACGTTACAACTGTAGACTGATACATAGGTCGTTTGAGGTCCATGGGTGTATCGCTTTGACGCCATAGGTGTCTCAACTTAGCAAACGCAACCCGAACCTTGCAGATTCGTGCATTGACCTCATCTGTCACATTACATTCAGAACTGATACAACTTCCGAGGCACGTAAAACGCTCCACAACTTCCAGTGCCTCTCCCCGGATTGTAAGTGGCATGTTCAGTGACTGCCTGTCCAGGAGCATGACCTTACCCTTTGTGGTGCATACCAAAGCACGGAATGATTTTCGTCAGTTCATCCAAAAACAGCTGCGCCTTCTCTTCGAAGACGAGAACGATATCGCCTGCATATCCCAGATCGACAAGGTTTTCCTCAGAGACTACCTGAACGTCTCGGATTTTGAAGACCTTTCAGTAACGCATTATTAGTTGGATGATTTTCAGACAGGACTGTGAAGGAAGAAAGAGCAGGTTTGACTGGTTGGTTGACAATGGTGGAATCGAACGCCTTCCTGTCAAGGTTGTTGAAAGATCCTTGAGGTCAGTTCATCCAAAAACAGCTGCGCCTTCTCTTCGAAGACGAGAACGATATCGCCTGCATATCCCAGATCGACAAGGTTTTCCTCAGAGACTACCTGAACGTCTCGGATTTTGAAGACCTTTCAGTAACGCATTATTAGTTGGATGATTTTCAGACAGGACTGTGAAGGAAAGAAAGAGCACTAGGTTTGACTGGTTGGTTGACAATGGTGGAATCGAACGCCTTCCTGTCAAGGTTGTTGAAAGATCCTTGAGAGGTCCTGCCGAAATTCAGTGGGGGTTCTCGTGAAAACTAATTTCTCATGTGAATCAGTGTAGTTTGCGAGCGCTTACTTGAGGTTGTCAGAGTAACTCAACGGACCAACCTGGTACAGAACGAGGTGGAGGGATAGTCCAATCACAACGCATCCTTGTGCAGTTTCCTGTCAGTCACGGGTGATTGGTTGTACGTCGTGGCAATCGGTTCGCTTGTTTTATCAAACTAAGCATTTACCTACCACTCAGTGGCTTCCCTTTCGAGGGAACATGCATAGGACCAATCGAAACAACCCTTTCCTGCAGCCAATCACCATGTATTCCTCAACCTTCTCGGAAAGTCTTGTTTTGCTCCTTAACCCACACCCCTTTTGTCCTAAAGGGAATTCGCATGGTGATATACGGATTCATCAAGGCAACTGAGCAATCTATGTGCGACATACTTTCGGTTCATTCCGTGATTATCACTCATGCTCGAAGCATGCTTCAAATGAACCACAATGTCCCCTTTCCTTATATGTGTATTTCCCGACAGAATCATACCAAAGTCAGCTGATTGCAACGTGTGTTCTAAATGCTATGTTCGCCGGAGACTCTCGTTTTGACCTTCACCACACTTGTATTGATTTGTGTCAATTTGAATATATCGATCCGTTGCCTAACAGTTGAGTTTAGCGCACTAGACGGGCTTCTGCTTGTCCATCTCTAAAAAGCCATGTCAACAATGGATTGTAAGTCGTACCGTGAAACGATCGATTCGGTAATCTCTTTTAGGTGAACATCCTCCACAATGCGCACAGTGGGAGTCAACCGTGGGACTGAAATATTTGGTAGGTTGCGATCTAACTAGGCACCATTTCGTATTGAACGGCAGTCGAGGTTCATGTGAGATTACAACTCACTAAAGACATCCTCAACAAGCTGTTTACAACATTGTTCTGTTAATTAAGGAAGGCTCGTAAGCACTAGAATAGCCGATTGTTTGGTTGCGTTCTGGTAAAACCCAGGTAACAATCGGTGAGTACATGTGGCACTCATCCGGGCGTCTCCCAGACATTTTAGTTCTCAAGTTTTTTAGAATGATTCAATATGACCGTGGCATTAAATCCTATTGATCGATTTATTCTTGAGAAATATGGTAGCGTATAGTGGTGAAACCGAAAAGGCTCACCTAGGTTGATTGGTAAACGCAGTTTGAAGTTCTGTGTTGTCTAGAAAAGATTATTTCCACATATCTGGATTCCGGTGATTTTAAATCCACTTTGATTATTGAAGGCGAAACAGTGAAGAATCGATGTCAACATTGACGTTGCTGTCTCTGATTATGATGGTGAGCGGCACTGTTCTAGTAACGTGTAAGTTGGGAGTTTTGTTTTCTGTGGCTTTTTAAAGGATAAATT